AAATTTCCCCTCCCCCAGTAAAACAAGAAAAATGCATCTCTATTTATTCAGATGTACCACAATTCCCTAACAAATGTCAAAACTTTGGAAGAATTAATTTCAAGTTTGCATTAACTCCACAAGTTTTCTATTAACTCAAAACCATAAAAATGCAAAGTTTTTCTCTTTACCCATAAAGTTTCCATGTAAGGTAGTTCTGCATGCTGGATACCTAGTGCTTTTCTTTCTAAAAAAAACTTGCTGGATATATAAGACAGCAATAAAATATAATAGCTCCCTGGTTAGCAGAGGTAGTATTCTTTAGAGAACTGACTTTATAATTTGCAGTATCTACTTCATGAAATCCTCATTTACAATTTTGGGAAGTGAGACAAGCAGTTACAAAAATCCAACAACAGAAACCCAACAAAACCCATGCTTCCAAAATGACAACAGGCTTTAAGTTATCTTTAATATCTATATTGCTTTGTTTACTGGTATATTTGCTAATGAAATGGGATGTACAAAACTGAATGTTTGGATTTCTCAAGCTCCAGACACTACACGAGACAGAGTGGAAAAAAATGTTCTATAATGTGTTCTAAAAAACACAAAAAAGATAGACTGACATTTTAAAATTCAGTTTTTATTCTTTAAAATTCAGCTTCTGTTCTCTCTGCCAGAGCTCCAGCATTACCAATAAAGTATACTAATATTTTCCATTTTTTACATATGTGAAATGTATGGCACATGCAGCATAAATTAAAAAAAAAAGTGCCAAAAGAAGCCATGAACAATAGTTTAGAGCTTCTAAAATTATATTCCTACACTTTCTATCATTCATTCAACCAGCGTCAAATTCCAGCTTTGGTTCCTCTGTGTGTGCTATGCTTTATTAAGTAGGTTGAAGCAAATCGGCCCCGTGCCACGAATGACTGTGGCCAATACCCTGGCAGCACTTTTAGGAAGGAGTTCAGCTCTATCTGCCAATTCTTACAGCTATGTTCTTTGACTGGTTAAGTTTATTTGTACTAGTGTCAGCACAACTCTAAATGTTGCTTTTCCTTTCTGGGATCCCTACAGCAATGAAGAAACCTCCAAATCCTCTCCACTCCCCCAGCCCAAAACTGCCTGTAAGCAATCCTACTAATTTGAAGTAAACTAAGTAATTTAGTTTAGATTTAGTTTCCAAGTTTGAACTTAGAAGTTATGCAAAACACTGTAGGAAAAAAAAAATTCTTCCTGAAAGAAACTGGTTATTAAAACCAACTTAGATTCTTAATATAGGCAAGTTCTGCTTGACAAACTCATACACTTGGTCCCTATCTAGGGTTTCATATGTTAGAGCTGTATAACATTGTACAGTTTTCATTCAGTGGCTTGTCCACCTGAATTTAGTTCTGTTTTAAGAACTAATTATCTTTTCAGCTTCTTTAGAACACATTTATGAAGAATCAAAGTATCATCATACATGTTCCTGAAATTATAGAATCATAAAATGGTTTGGGTTGGAAGTGATCTCAAACAAAATCTAGTTCCAGCCCCTCATCATGGGTAGGGACATCTTCCACTAGACCAGGTTACTCAGAACCCCATCCAGCCTGCTCTTGAAAACTATGTTTCCAGAAATTCTTCCTTTGCTCTGAACGTGCAACCAACCTTCCCCGCATTTTGACAGCTCAAGTCATTCCAAGAAATGCATGCATCTCAAAGATAACAGTTTATCAAGTTATACATTAATTCTGGCTTATCACATATTGAAAAGGTTTTATGCACTGATAGTATTTTATACATCTGTCTTGAGAACTGAACTAATTTTAATTAATGGCAATTAAAAAAACATTAACAAAACAACTGTCTGATGCTCTAGTATGAATCAATTTGTTCTGTTAGAGCAGCCCAGAGAGTGGATTATTGTTTTAGAAACAAGATGTTGGATAATGAGGCACTCAGGGTACAGGACTCTAACATGAGCTCTCTGGGCTGGCACTGTCTAAAATGACTGGTCTTTGGAAAAAAAAAAAACAAACCTGAAAACAAACAAGTATTCTGCAACTAGTAAAATATTGGTAACAATCCACTGGGTGGAACAAATAAGGGACATGTGAAACTTAGTCTGTTGTTTTAGTTTTTTTCTTAGTGAAAAGTATTAGACATAGAACTCTATTATTATCTCATAAATATGGATCTTGCTTTCATCACTGGAACAAGAAGATCTGTGAGATTTCTTTCCCATGTATTCTCTATGAAGTATGAGTCTCTTTCACAGGACACAAACTGATTCACTGAATGTATCTGCATGTGTAGAAATGAGTGTAAAGGGCCACATTAAGAGTTTAACTAGCTTATTAGCTATCTTCTAACTCACTGCACAGTAAATTTCATCCACATGGAATAGGTGTTGCATAATTTCTGCTAAAAATTCACACCCCAGCTGACATTTCAGCTATTTTCTTCTATAAACGAATGAAGAGAATCTTGTATTGCTGTAACTAAACTACATTTAAGTAGTTATTTGAATTAATCCAGAAATGTATTTAGAGTAAAATCAGAGAAAATACTGGCATATGTTTTCACCATGTACTTATTTTTTGCTTTTGTTTTTCAATATCCAGCTTTGCACCTTGAAGTCTTACTGAAAAAGGCTGAGAAGTTTGACTGAGTTCAAACGGATTTCTAACTACCACCCTTGGTTCTTGAGAATCAATCCTTCTGTACTCATGTCAGACAGCCAATAATGCTGTTCAGATCTCAAATCACACCTGGTTCTTCTCCAAATTTCTTCCAATTTTCAGGTTGGTACTCTACAAGTGGGGATGATCCCCAGGTCACAGAAACAACAGAGGTAGTAACAGCTCCACGTTCAACAGCAGCTCACAAAAATCTGCTTTACCTTGCAATGGACATAATCAGACACTTTTTTTAACTAACTTTTTAAAAGTTAACTATATAAAGGGGAGCAAAACCCAGCTGACCTTGCTGTATTGCTCATTCTCTTGCCTCTGAACTGCTTTGCTCCAGAATTGAAGGAACACGTAGTTCTCAGCACACTACTCAGTCAATGAAATTAATCAACTATTTCAAAAATATGTAAGATAGGTGTATATACTATAAACTGCATCTCCTTAGTTGCTGGGACCTTAAGTAAATTTTCTAAAATAAATATTCGTAAAGCTTACCTCTTTACCTCAAAGAAAAATTACCCTAATTCTCTTAAAATTAACTACTGCCCAAATAGATCGTTGAAAAGAAACTTTATTGTAAACTACAATATACCAGTAGAGCATTAAACAACAGATTTCAAATAATTTACATTTCACACCATCCAAAAGTAACTTGCAACTATGGCATTAGTTTTTTAACTTGTCTACATCAGGCAGTGACTGGGCAGGGTTGCGGTATACATGACCAGACATGTACCTTTGGCTGTGCAATCCAGGCATACACACAGCACGTGATGAAGAGGTCTATGTTTTGGTCATGTATGGGACTGTTACCCAGTTACCTGGTGGAGGAAAGCCTGTGGAATTTTCAGGAAAGAGTGGCAGGGACTAGGCTGCCAGAACAATTAAAAACCAAAGTCTGTCTGTAGCTAAGATGTGGAAACTCCCCTGGGAAGAAACAACCAGAGTGTTGTTCTACATTTAAATATGAAATTTTAAAACAAGGCTATTAGGCTTTTTATTGTTGACTTGATTTCAATTATAATAGCTTTTATTTTTCCAGTTTCTAATGATTTTTCTATACAACACTAAAAACTGAAAATGGCCATTTTCACAAGCGAAAACTTGCATAGTGAAATAGAGAGCTTTTTGTTCAACTTCTGTTGAACTAAAGTTTTGTGCTGTTTTTCCCCTTCTAGTTTTGAAGATGCTCCTGCTGTGTCACATCAATTCTGATTTGACTCCAACTCTTTCATAATAATTGTCTCTATGTTTTACTTCATTTTAAGCACCTGAAATAACAAAAAGGCATTCTGAAGCTGAAGATGTGTTTGACTGGTGAAAAGTAACACTACAGTTAGTCATGTGCATGGCAGCTAAAGCAAAATATGGTATATTCTTGTTTTTATCTTAGTAGAGTTCAGACAAACCTAAATGAAAGTGTACTTACAGATTTCATGTTTATTAGCAAGGTCTCTTGGCCTGCAAGTATTCCAGAACTTCAATATCTATTAATAAACCAGTGGCAGAGTGGGACTGCTATCTGCTGACAAGACAGCCTTGATAATACAACAGCAAAGCTATGATTATAAAAGCAGTTGAGTTTCCAGTGTAGATCTCTTAACACTCCATTTTGAAACATTTGAAGTTTGCCAAGCATAAATATGACCATTTTGAGATATTACAGCCACTTAAAATCCTTGAAAACCTCTGAGTCTAAAGTGAGAGCACAGAAAATCCTCAGTAAGGATGTGCTTTTTGTTATGACTACAAAGTTGACTATTTGTGCTGAAACTGCATCATGAGTAAGAGGTCAACACCCACAGCTCAGAAAAGCAAGGCCTAAGTATGATCTCCAATCCATCTGTCTTCTTGTAAAGTAGGTCTTATTTCTTCCTCTGTGCAATGAAATTTAGACTGTGTTCAACACTAGAGTATTCCCTTTGCCTATAAGAACTTCTGGGAGGACAGGTACACTCAAAATGCTATGCCACCTGTGACCAGATTTTTTCCTGGAGACAACACTATCAGAGTTCTCTTCCTTACATCACATGAGTTTGGTATCTCTATGAAGATACTGTGTTGAGAATAATGCAACAAGTGCATTAAACAAATTTCTACTTCAGCATTGTCTCTAGATACACTTTTGTACTGACAGTCCTGTTTCTGCCAGCAGCAGGCACATGTGTGGGATACAGTCAAGCTGTATGAGCACTGAACCTTACAATGCTAAACTCTAGTTATACCAATTATGCACTATGCAGCTCCACATTTCCTATATGTAAAACAGCAATACAATCCTTGCTAACACCTCCCCAAGGGTGTTGTGAGGATTAAAGATTTAGCACAGCACAGCACAGTTTAATAAACAGCACTTTATTAATTCAAAGGGCTATGTCTAACACAACAGATGTGGTACTCACATCTGTGAGCCATCACTGGGCACCTTTTTACAGTGGATAACCTGCTTACACTTTCTTCATTGGGTGAGAAGCACTATTTCTCCCAAAACATGATTTGATCCCCAGCTATTACTAAGTGTTGCAAAAACAACAAAAAGTACCTTCATTTCAGAACAGTTAACTGCATAAAGGGAGGCGGAACAACTAGATTTACAGAAACAAAAATCTTTATGGTTGCCAAATTCACAGAAAGACAGAAAGGCAATCTTTTCAAATATACTGTCTTCTGAAAATCTCCAGTGCCCAGTGCCTGCTATGGTGAAAGCCAAAGTTCCCACAATACTACCTGAAAACAGCAGAAGGTGCCCTGGTGCTCCATAGTAAATTTTAAGGTCCCTGAACCAGGAGATGTAAGCCCAGTAGGATAATTATGAACAAACCAGTATCTAGCAAACTACTCTAAGAACCTGACATGCAGGTTGTCATACCTATAAAAGCTACTACACAAAACTCCATCTCCACACAAACTTTTTTAAGGAAAAGGTGATTATTACTTTAAGAGAAAGATGTTAATCTACAAATCTACAAATAAAAGCAAGGGGACCATTTCAGCAGTGTTGGATGCCTGTTAGGTGCAGACTCTACAAGCTGGCCTCATCAAATTTGTTATGGATCTACATGAAGAAACTTCATTCCCATAGAGAATTTAGCAGGCGACAAAGGAAAAAACAGCAGCAATATTTTTGTGTAATTCTGGAAGTCAAACAACACTATAGTATATAGAGACGACTGAGCCCATTATTAAAGCACACAAGCTCCCCTAGATCACACCTAGATACTTTCACAGGAACCCCAGACAGATGAAAGGTACACCTGAAATAATTTCACCACGTGAATTTCACAGAAGAAAAACTTTCTTCCCATTTTGTTATACAATAACTGAATGTCACTTCCTGTGTAATAGGCACAGGTCACAAAAGAAATGTTAAATATCCATGAGTGCAACATCACTAGCCTATGTTAAGAAAAAAACCCTATTTATCCTTACAGCTCACAGAGCAGTAAATTTAGCAAATCATTAAGAGTGGTAGGATCCTTATATATACAATGGCTCAGTTTGGTGGCAGAAGGTGAAAGCAGGGGCATAGAGAAATAGAGATCTAAAAGAAATATTAGAATTAACAGTTCCCTCTTGACAACTATGCTTGCCACCCATACTAAAGTGGGTGGCAAAATGGGCGGCGAAACTTTTAAAGTCTTGAATAAATCCATCCCTTTTAAATAAAACTCCACAGTAAGACATCCAGCAGCAGGGCCGGCAGAAGCAAGCTGGCACCTCCGCTCCCGGCCAGACCGCCTTTGTTCGCTAGTGCCAGCCGCTGCAGCATCCACGGGAGCACGGAACCCCCGGGCAGGTACACCGGGGGGTCGCGGCACGCCGGCGCACCCGCGCAGCCCCCGCGGAGCCCTCCGCAGCGGAGGGCCGGCGCCGGGAGGAGAGCCCCGGCGGCGCTCGGGGTCTGCGGGTGGGGGCCAGCGTCCGGGCAGCGAGGGGGACGGCGGGACCCTCACTCACCTCTTCCACCTCGATCTCTTTGTAGTCGATTTCTTCGAAGTTGAGGACCGGGGGGGTTTCAATCATTTCAGCGGAGGCGGCAGCGGACATGCCTCCTCTTTCACCGCAGGGAGGAGAGGGGGCCGGGGCTACGCGAGGGTCCGGCACCGGGCAGCCGAGGGCCGGAGCCGGGGCTACGCGGGGCTCGGCGGCGGTTCCTGGCGCAGGTCGGGGCGGGCCTGGC